AGAGGGGAGAGGGGAGAGGAATGAACAGACACAAACACCCCCATGTAGGCAAAGAACGCTTGCCAGCATTTCTCCCCTCCTGCCCTTATTCACAGGTTACTGAAAGGGGCATACACTGGTATGACATTTCTAGAAGGGTATGTGACAATATTTCAAGATTTTTAAATATGTCTGTATCTCTGACCCTATCATCACTGTTCCAGGAATGTCCTAAGGACATAACCAGAGATTAGGGTAAAGTTTCATAAGTCTAGTTGGTCAAGGCTCACTGATTTTCCTTCCTCCCTTAGATCTGTAAATTTCTCTCCCCTACAGTCTCTATGTCAGGCCCTCGTTGTTTCTCTCTTGGAATATAAGAATCCTTTATTTTGTTCTCCTTCAGTCTACTCTTCATACTATAGCCAGTGAACTTTCTAAAACACAATTCTGATCACGTCACCTCCATATTTAAAATAATTCCATGGCTCCCCTAGATGGTTCCCTCAGATTTCAAGGCCCAGCCTCTGCCTTCTTCCCTAGCTGTTCCCTCTCTTCGCTATATACCTCATGATCTGGAGCAATTGACCATTGCCCGAATGTGCCACCTGTTGCTCCTCCCATGCCTGTACCAGTAGTTTATTCAAATGCACTTCCCAGCCCCCCAGTGCCTTCAGAGCCTGGTGAGTCTCTCAAGTCTTTTAAAAGCCCTCATGGGCACACTGCCCTGCTGGGAAACCTTCTGATGTCTGAAACCGGGCCGGTCCACTCTGGTACAGTCTCACTGCACTCTGTGAGAGCTCTGTTGCGGCACTTTTCATTTTCTGGGTGGTCTGCTGGCTCTTCCACTATACCAAATCTTATTCCTCCATCCTTCATTTCCAGCACCCAAAGAATGCCTTCTGAAGACATGTTGCATGAAGGACTCCATGACTAAGAGAACAGAGATTGATTCTACAAACATATCCAAGCACCTGATTAACAGCTTACTCTTGTGCAAAAATGATGACATAAATAATAAGACCAAAGGAGAGCCAAATAGAATGATTAGGCCCAACCTTCTATCTTGTACCAAATACCAATTAAATACCAGAGAGCTAAAATGCTCATTTCTTGAAAATAACTGTACTGGAGAGAAGGAATAGAAATATTAACTATAATTTGTAAATGCATGACTCAACAAAACTTACTGCTACATATAGCAACAGGGGTGGGGGGAGAATGCCATACCATGGCATCAGAGCCATGTTTTGCCATGAGCAATCCCTGCCCTCAGAGTACCCGACAAGATGGCAGAGCCAGCATCTCTGCAAGTGGGCCCAGGGACATGGGCTGGTGGGAGGAGACTGACTGTGAAGAGGCTGCAGAGCTTGCAGAGTGGGAAATTAAAACCACTGCTCTTTTTGCTTCAGGCTAATTAAAGCTACTTGACTGTAAATAGGGTAAGGGAACTGGTGCTAAACTGATTTATTCCTCTACTTCCGGCCACCAATTGGACCTGCTAAGCATGGTAGTAATCAAATGAATACTTTACTTAATTGCATGAAACCATCCTGAGAGCTAACTTAGCACAACTGTTCCCATTACCCAGTCCAATTCTCAGTGCAGCAATGATGAGCTGCTAAGAGCTGACTGGGTCTGCAAACCATGGACCACAGGCCAACTCCAGCCTTCCACCTGCTTCTGTATGGCCCTTGAGCTAAGAATGTTTTTTACATTTTTTAATAAATGAAAGATAATTAAAGGAAGAATACTATTTTGTGATATGAAAATTATATGAACTCTGAATTTCAGTGTCCTTAAATTTTATTGGAACAGCCCCACTCACTTGTTTGTCTATCTCTGGCTGCTTTCACATTACGACAGCAGAGCTGAGTACTGGAGACAGACCTTATGGCCCACAAAGCCTAAAATATTTACAATCTGCCCTTTAGAGGAAGCCTGCAGACCCCTGACTTAAAAGCTGGCTAGGCAAGGCCATCCATAATAGCATTCCACAGCAGCCTGGATCCCAAGGTACTTAAAAATTATTTCCATTAATGAGTTTATCTTGCTCACAGAAATGGCCACTAGTTTGAGCTTCAAAATTGTGTCAGGCCGGATTCATGTAAGATAGCTGAGAATTTAATAAAGGCCCCTTTGGTTTAGAGAAATTTACTAAGAAGATGAAAATAAATTTTCTTCACTACAACTTTCTCTAATTCAGAAAGTCAAAGGCTCATCAGGAGCCAGTCATATCCACCCTCTCACATGCTGAGGATCCTGAAGTGGCCCAGTTTCCTTCAGGCAGTGGGGCTCCTTTCTTCAGAAGCCTCCCACGGAGGGCCTCCCTCTGAGTGCTATCACCACACTGAGGGTGTCAGCCTGGAAAGAAAGCCCCGGAAAGCTGTAGGTGTAGCTTCCTGATTTTTGTTGGGGGGTTCTTTTTAGCACCCTGCTACCCTCCCTTGTTATCCTTTCTGAAGGCAATGGCTAAGACACAGAACAACACATCAGAGTCAACTAATGGCATCTTCCTTCCTGGAAGGGAGGCTCCTGGGAGGATGGGGGTCAGGGAGCTCTATGCACTTCCAAGGCCCGTAGGGCAGGCCTGAGTCATCCAGGAAGAACCTGAACAGGGCGTAAGGGCTTCCCATAGCCCCCCACCCCACAAAGCTCAGATTTGCATATGATTATAATCCATTATGATTACTTTGACTACAAACACATAAAAGTCCCTTTAATGAGTCTTTTTAAGAAACAGAGGGACATATGTATAATAAAGAAAATAAAACAAGCATGTGTTAAACTCTAGAACTAACATGGCAGCAGAAAACATGAAGGTGGGAAGAAACCACCTGGAAGGTATGTTACTCAACTCATTCAACCACAAGCACAAAGCATGCACTCAGCACCTACACTTGCTTTTGGGCAATGGCATAAAGGAGCATCATTTCACTGAGCTAGAATCTCTTTAGAACTCGGTTTAAGCTCCAGGTAAAAGAGACATTTGGAGCAGGTAATCTGACCTCAAAGGCAGTGCTTCCCATCTGTTTCACATCACAGTACATACAGAACTTGCTAGTACCTGACAGCATGCTAGGATAAGCAGACAGGATTGCTAGCAGGTGGTCCCCAGGGACTGAGGCCAGCCCAGGTAGTCCTGAGGGCTGAGGGTGCACCATTTCAGATGTAAGTGTGGCAGCTCTGGTCTAAGGTGTGGACTGCAATCACCAGTGGTAAAGTTGCTCTATACTTCTGAAGTTATTATGACCTCCAAACCATTGAGTCCTTACCTGACAAACAGGTACCATGCTAGTGTCTTCCACCTCACCCATTCTGAAAGTCATCACGGTAAACTGACTTCTCGGAAAGGTGACTTCTGGGTTAGCAGATCTATTCTGCATTCAAGGGCATGCTGTGTGACAAGGATGGTGTCCCCTCTTACAAAGGCCTCTCATAGCACCTTCCTAATTGAGGCGAGTGTAAAAACGCATATATATACTTTAGGACTGCCACCAAAAACGTGGACATCGTGAACTGAGGCAAACACAGCATCAGAGAGCAGCTCAAACAGCAGGCTATGCCAAAGGTCCGAAGAAAAATGGATTTTAGTGAAGGCAAATGCAGGCAGTTGGCACATGAGAACAAATGCAGTGACTGCCAAATGGGCCACTGAGCTGATTTATAAAGGATCTCACGGTGTCTCTGTCACAGGAGACTGATGTGCTCCTCCTAAAGTCCTGGTCCACACACTCATCTAGAGAACCAAGGAATCAACTCCAAGGATGCAAATCCCTTATTTTCAAACCTTCATTAACTGGAACCTAAGTAGGACTTTTGAGGGCTTGTTTTTCTCACTTGAAAGGAAAATTTTTCTCTTAAGTCAGCATGGTGTAAAAGGAGGAAAGGTGAACAAAGTGCTAGCTATCTGGATTTCTTGCATATAAGCAACTTATTTAACCTTTGGGGGCTTTGGCTTTCTAATTTATAAAATGAGAGGGCCAATGAGATACAGATAACTGAGTTACCAGACATGGCAACTCAACCAGGTTTGAATGACAGCTTGCCTAAGTCCCAGTGAACCACTGGCATGGCTGTGCTACTCCAGAGCCATCAATACCATTCTGGGTCATTGTTTTCTTAAATAGCCAGCATTCTATAGTCTCCCCAGTTCTGTGCTTCCTCAGATATTAATCTGGAATTTGTAAACATAATTCTTTTAGGAAGACAAGGGATAAGAAGAAACACTTATTTCTTTAAGCCCCATAATCAGATACTGGTTAACTCCTACATGTCCATGTTTCCTGTTACCAGCTCAGTTAAGAGGGATTAGCAGTAGAAACCGAGGTGAGGACCAAATACTGGACATACCTTCCCAGGTTAGGCCAGCTGGGAGCTTTGGTCTCACAGCCACCCAGACACCACCCTTTTCCTGGGCTCACAGTGTTAGGCCTCAGGTGCCTGCGGAGCTAGGGAGAGTGGGACTTAGTTCCTGCCTACCTTGGGGAACATTGCTTCAGTGCAGTGACTGAGGAAACAAGGAGGGAAGAGTGCAAGACTGCCATGCTGAGTTGCAGACATGCTGGGTTCAGGCACAAAGCAAATCTGTTGGTAGCACTAAAAAAAGGAAGTGACTGACCTGATCCAAACGCAGTGCACCGTCCAAAAACCGCTGTTTGCGTAACTCCTTCGCAATCCGGTGGAGATTCAAGACAGCCTGGTGTACCTCCTCGCTGGTGTGCTCAGGGGAGATGGGGGGCAGCTCCTGCTCAGGGATTGTCTTAGTCGGGCTCTCAATCATGCTCTGTGCGTGCTCATAGCTCAGTTTGGTGCAGGAGCAGATGATGGTCCGGCCAAACCACTCACTAAGGATCTGCAGGAGGACAGATTGTGAGAAATTGGTTTTCAGGTTTTTCTTACATATGACCATTCACCCACATGCATTCTCCAGAGATTCCCTGAGCACTGGCTTTTTGAACAGAATGGTGTTAGGTTCTGGCTGGGTACAAAGACTGATCCAATGTGGAAGCTGCTGCCCTCAGCGAGCTCAGCCTCTACCAGGCTTGGACCGCGCAGGCATGGAGTCTCTAGACGTCTCCGAGCAGAAGGGCTCAGGCAAGGCCAAGCAGGAGACTGAGGTGAAGGCTTTTCCTCTAGGAGGCTTTTTCATTAGTTTGGGTAGGTGGTCATCAATGTCAAAACTGGGAAAGAGAAGAAGGGATAGATGCCAAAGATGTGCAGATGGGGATTCTGTGGGTTTGGTAATGGATGTGATGTGGGATGAGGGAAAAGGTGGGGCCCCTGATAGAAACAGAGAGCAAGATGCAGGAGAAAGAAAAAGCCAATTCCAACTTGTTCTCTTTGGGGCACTGATGTAGAGACAAAGGCCCAGAACAGTATTTCTCAACCTCAGCACTACTGGGCTAATTCTTGGTTGTGGGGTTGTACTGTACACTGTGAAATGTTTAGCAGCATCCTTCAACTCTACCCATTAGCATCTCTCTCCAGCCCTGAGTTGACAACCAAACCATCTCTAGACGTTGCCAAATGTTCCCTGGGGTTATCAGAGCAGGTTGAGACCCACTGGGCTCAAAGCAGACACACTGCTGAGGGATGGGTTACCACTGATCTGTATTTTATCCTTTCAGTTTGTCTCTATTTTCTATAATGAGCATTTATTACTTTTAAAACAAAAATAAAATAAACCTTAAACTATTCGGGGACTCCTGAGCCTGAGGTGCAGGGAGGAGACCTGGATGGCTCCATGCTGCAGGCAGCAGGGTGTAGCCCGGGGGCAATGACTGGTCTGGAGGTGGGGAGATGGCCTCCTGGATCTGAAAGAAAGAGAAGGCCGTATTCTCTACAAACTCCTTCATACTAGGGAACAAAAATAAAAGCTGGATGATGAAAAAAAACAAAAACAAGAGAACTCAAAGAGACAGGAGAAAATTCAAGAGTGTCTGCTGTTAGAAAAAGCAGGAGACAGGGCAGAAGAAAGGGGTGCTCAGAAGCAGCAGCAGACACACTTCATGGCCCCTGGATGAGACAGACGCTGTTTCTATACTTTCCATACAACTACTTCCTCACACAGCAACGTATGAGGCAGGTGTTCTATTATCCTCACTCTGTAAACAAGGAAACGAAGGCACAGACCCATTGAGTGACCTGCTAGAGAACGAATGGCAAAGCCAGGAACTGAGCCCAGGCAGTCCAGCCCCAGAGCCTGAGCTCCTAACCCTTAGGCTATGTCAGATGCCACCTGGCCATCGAGGAGGATGAAAACAAAGGAAAAGACCTTGTATTGAGCATTTGCTTATTAGTGAGCTTTATGAAGGCTATTTTAGGGGAGAATATGGTACAGGCTGGGTAGATTTCAGGCATGTGCTACGGACGGATTACAGAGACACTGTCATCCGGCAGCTAGAGCTCTGCCTTGCACCGGCCTCTCACACCCCGTGTGCCATTCAAAGAGCAGCATCTTCTATGTGAGGCATATGAGGGAAAGTTTGGGAAGTCTGGGGTTAAGGACAGGTGGACAGCTAGCAAGCAGTGGTGGCAACGTGTGGATGGCTGATTCCACAAGGATGGAAGGACAGGATGTTGCTGTTTGTAGGGTGAGGGGAAAAGCCAGTACAAAAGGAGGACCGATGGTGCCAGAGAACGAATGGGTCCTGGGCAAAAGGACTCCAGTAGGTGACTCATCCACGAGAGAGGAGCAGGGACCTGGAAGGGAGGTGAGAAGGATAGGGGAGGCAAGCAAGGTGATCTTGAGGGGAAGAAGAGGCAAGCCAAGAGCACTCGGATCCGATATTCCCAATCTATGGAGCCAAGTAGAAGGCAAAGAATGAGGGGGCCTGAGTGGGATTCAAAGGCATGAGGAAAGTGGAAGAGCCCTGTGATCAATGCCAATTCTTAAAATTTATCATCTGTAACCTGGCAGAATCGGAAGTCTACACTCCTTATCAGAGCTCCCTAACAACGCACGCTGCCTGCACTATCTCAGTTTGAGCCCCTTCTTCCTAATGGGCACCTTGGCTCCTTCATCTGTTTCCTTATCCACCTACACCCATCTCAACAGCACACACGAACACCACCAGATCTTCGACTATAGGGCTAATGAGAACTTTCTTATAATGCCTGCATCCCAGAAAACCTGTACTGCCCTTCTTTTTGAACCCACAATGGGTTGAAGTGAAAGTTCTGAAGAGCCATTGAGAACTATCTGGCCATGTGACAGTGGCCTCAGGCAGCAGAACCTATCCTGCTTTAACACAATCCAGCGATTCTGGAATCACCCTGACAAACGGACTAAAAAAATTCTGAGGCCAGAAAAACTAGCCTGAAACCACCTTGTGGGAAGGCAGCAGAGAAGCAAGGATGTCCCCCACAGCCTCAGAGAGAGGGCAGTAGGGAAAGAAGGACTATGGGGGCTCCCAGGGACAGCATGCCTAACAGCAAGGGAGGAAGGCCTTTCTGGAAGGAACACCTCATTAATTTCCAATTTGGAAGCTGTATTCACATCAACACCCCGTCCATAACCAGGGCCAGTGGCAGAAGACAAAAGGACATTTTTTCACGGAAAAAGTGAAAAAGCCATAAGGAGCTTCATAAATAAAACCCTTCAGAGAGATCTTGTCCTTCCTCTGTCCTTTGCTTAATCGCAGGATTTGGGTCACTGGTTGTCTGCAGGTGACAAGCTTCCTGCATTCACTCGAGGACATCATTGTTTAGAATGTCAGACTGAATTCTGTGCCAACACCTACTGAAGGTATATGGTGAGGAGGAAAACCTGGTCAGAATGGAGCAAACACTCTAGCTCATGACCTACTTTCTGGCCCCAGGTAGGACAGGAAATAACAACACTGCAGTGGACAGCACTTCAGAGTATCTGGCCCTGGCCCCTACTGAACAACCTTTCACAGTTTCTTGAACACATTTGGGAGGACTGCATTATTCAGCCCATTTCACAGTTGAGAAAACAGGCTGGGGATTTGCAAAAGCTTCTAAGTGGCAGCCACAAGCAGATCTATATCTAAAGACTTAAAGCTCAAAATCTAGTGTTACTTGTGTTATATTTTAGCTAAAGGTCACATAACAGACAAAGACGGTGGATAAAGGAAAGGAAGTATGCCTCATATACCAGCCTTCCATATATTACAGATACCACGTTGTGAGGACACCATGTCCTTGGAAAACTTAAATTCTATTTAAATACATTATAAAGTCTATCTTCTAAAAAAATGTCAGTGCTTCATTAAGAAATTTCTGGTTCAAAAACCGCTAATGGGTAAATTTGTAATTTTAAGTAAGTAGGTGCAAAATTACTTCTACAGCAGTTCTGGTTTTCTGTATGTAAAGTATTTTTTTTTTAAAAGTATTAGGAAGAGCCCTAGCTGGTTTGGCTCAGTGGATAGAGCGTTGGCCTGTGGACCAAAGGGTCCCAGGTTCGATTCCGGTCAAGGGCACCTACCTTGGTTGCAGGCTCCTCCCCAGCCCAGGCCCTGGTCGGGACTCCTGCAGGAGGCAACCAATCGATGTGTTTCTCTCACATCGATATTCTCTCTGCCTTTCCCCCTCTCTTTCACTTACTCTAAAAATCAATGGAAAAATATTCTCAGTTGAGGATTAAAAAAAAAAAAGTATTAGGAAGAAACATTTTCCTGACTGGAATAAAACCAGTTTGAGGTGGCCAGGGGTGGGGATGGGGAATTTATGCTGCTTGGAACACAAGGCAATCGTCGTGTGTGTGTGTGTGTTTGGGGGGGGGGGGGGGGGGGGGGGGGTGGTTAAGCGGTGAGAAAAGTCCAAGGGGCCAAGAAGAACATGCCTGAAAAGGGACTGGGCAGAAAAAGGAGGGGCTTGAAGGCAATGAGGAGAGACCAACATGTCTGTGATGGGGACCTTGGGACTGCAGTAGGGAGAGGCAGTGGGGTGGTGGCTGGCTGAGGAGCAAGCAAGGATCCCCTAGGCCTACTCCTCACACTAGGCCCACAGTGATTAAGTAAGGTGCAGGTCACTTTTTAAAGAAAAGAGAAGACTTTGGTGAGATTAGAGAGTAAATAACAAGATGGAAGAACTGTCAGCAACTCACTGTATTTAGAACCAGCTGTGTCCTTTCCTACTGTGTGGAGAGGCCCTGAGGCACACTAGGCCCACCAGAATGCACTGAGGAGGGGCCCGTGCTTGGGCCATGCATTTGCCAGCCTGTTTTAGTTTATAAGGCGGTTTATTTATGTGCTAGAATTTTCTGGAAGGTCTGCATAGAAAAAAAGCCTAACTGAGTAAACCGTGAGCTCTTCTGTCTCATGTCACCTGCCATCAGCCTAGTCTGCCAACCCCCAGACAATAATCGGGCCCTTTCCATCTTGACCTGTCTAAAGGTCGACTGTCTAAACTTCCAAGCCTAAGAGGAAGGAAATGAGGGAATTTCCTTAAGTGTTTGCCTTGCAACTGTAGAAAATGGCAGGAATGTGAGAGGAACCTCAGGTCCCGGATGTGGTTAGGAGACAAGAATTCCATTTCTATGAAAGTGGGTGAGGCCCCAAGCCTGAGCAGCCCTTGAAAAGTGTTCCCTTTACCATGACAGTTGCATGAGGGTAGGGAGGGGCAGTGGGACTCTCAGGTTGGTAGACAGGCTGGGAGGCCTGAGGAACTAGGGAAGGAAGTTGAAGGTGGGGGAGAGGGTGGGAAATGTTGGAGAGCCACAGAGAAAGCCTTCTGAGGACTGGCTTCAGACAGACCCAGGAAACACAAAAGCAGATTTTTAAGACCAGTGAGGTTAGCTCAGCCCCAGCCTTTCTTTCTTTTTAAAAATAAATAAATTATATATATATATATAATTGATTTCAGAGAGGGAGAGAAAAATAGAAACAT